AAAGTCCTACACTTAGGTACAAAAAATCAAAGGCACAGATATAGAATGGGAGGGACTTGGCTTGACAGCAGTACATGTGAAAGGGATCTAGGTGTTCTGGTTGATCACAAGCTAAACATGAGCCTGCAGTGCAATGTGACTGCGAAGAAAGCTAATGGAATCTTAGGATGCATTAACAGAAGCATTGTGTCCAGATCACGAGAGGGGGTAGTTCCGCTCTATTCTGCTATGATCAGGCCTCACCTGGAGTACTGTGTCCAGTTTTGGGCACCACATTTTAGGAAAAATCGAGCGTGTCCAGAAGAGGGCAACCAGGATCCAAGTCTTATGAGGAAAGGCTGAAAGAGTTGAGTATGTTTAGCCTGGGAAAGAGAAGGCGTAGAGGGGACATGATTGCAGTCTTCAAGTAGTTGAAGGGCTGTCATGTAGAAGATGGAGTGGATCTATTCTTTCTTGCTCCAGATTGCAAGACTAGATCTAATGGGTGTAAATTACAAAGGAGTCATTACCGGCTAAATATCAGGAGAAACTTCCTAACTGTAAGAGTGATTGAGCAGTGGAACAGACTGCCTTGAGAGGTGGTGGATGCTCCTTCGCTGGACGTTTTCAAGTGGAGGCTGGACGACCATCTTTCGGGTATGTTGTAGGGCTAACTTTCGGCTATGCTCCTGCAGAGTAAAGGGGGTTGGACTAGATGACCTGCAAGGTCCCTTCCAACCCTAACATTCTATGATTCGATATAATTTTCTTCCTTCTGGGCTGGCTGCTTAGGTTTATCTTGACTTAAATGTTAGTTACATTGGTCAGCAACAATATGTATGCTTCATTTCAGAGTGGCTAGTGTACCAAGTTTTTGACTAGCAACAGGAAGATTTAGGTTCAAATCTGTAGTCTGTCAAGAATCTCACTGGGTGACATTAGTCCTGACACTCTCTCAGCAGAATGTATCTCACAGGGTTTGTATGAAGAAAAAAAGGGAGGGAGGGGACAATATATGTCATCCACAGCTCCTTGGAGAATACACTCATTCACACACACACACACACACACGAGACTATATGACAGAAACCGTAATCATGGGCTGCTTTGTGAGTACTATATTCCAATTCAAAATTCTCCACTTTCATAATTTATTTTCATGACTTGGTGGAGCAAGAGATAAACACTCAATCAATAAAACATGATTTCCATGTTAATATTGATCAGAACATATGTAATGTAATCTACAACTGTATTACAAACATTTTAATATTTCAGCAATGGTATCTAGTTTTTACTAAGATGGTTTCACATGTATTTGGGCTGTACCATTTCAGAGTGCAAAAGAATATTCACACAGTGATATAGTATCCAATAGGGATGGGCATCAACCCCGGTTTAAGCATGAACCAGGTTCGTTCGTGGTTCACAAACCAGGGATTTGGGAGGATGTGTCTCCCACAATCTGCCCACGAATCTCCATGTTTTTCATGAAGGTTCGTGAGGTTTATGAGAGATACATTCTTGGGCTCTGGAGGCATTTAAATGCCTTCGAAGCTTACTTCCATGTCTGGCAGCCCACCCAGAAGTGAGCTCCAAAGGCATTTAATTGCTGTTGGAACCCACCACCTGCCCACAGTCCCACCCAAGTGAGCTCTGAAGACATTTAAATGGGTTGGGCCACCTGACTGGAAGTGAGCTCTGCCTTTGGAGCCCACCTCCATGTTGGGCTGGCCTGACTGAGCTATGAGAGTGAGCTCTGAGACTTTTACAGGCTTCTGAAGCTCACTTCTGGGTGGGGCCTGCCCTATAAAAGCCTTCAGAGTTCACTCTGGGAGCTCAATCAGGCTGGCCCAACCTGGGCTCAAAGGCATTTAAATGCCTTTGGAGCTCTCTTCCAGGTGGGCTGAACTCCCCAAACTATGAACCAGTTCAGCAAATGGAGGCGTTTGTTGGAGGTTCAGGGGTCATGAAAACCCAAACCACAAATCTCAGTTTTCCTGGTTTGTGCCCATCCCTGGTCTCCAATAAAAGAGATTTCTGAACACAGAAAATTAAATGTCAGGGACACGTTTTTGCTAGCTCTCTTGCCTCTGAAGTCTAGCTTTATATGTGGAGATTTTTTTTTCTTTATGGAGAGACATTCAGTCATGTAAATGTCACTTGCAGTCTGAAGTGGTACAACTCACAGGCCTACACAATATATTTGATGATGAAGATTAACATATCAAAACCACAACCACTTCTGTTCTTTAGCAATCTCCTTTATTCTGCCTAGTATACGGACATAAATTTGCTTCCAGACCAGTCAGTGGGTTGGATCCACCAATGCACAAACCACAAAACAAATCTACTTAGCAAAGTTACGCTTAAAGGAATTGCATAAGATCTTGTGTAGCATTTCCCAATCCCACAATGACATACACTTACAAGATCTTGGCAACAATCTCCTCCCTCTCCCATATTGTACCATCTCGAGAATGAAGAAGCTGCTAGATTCACCTTCTGAGACCCCAGGATTGGTTTTGCAATATCTTGTGCAAACAGAAATGCAAGCGGGGGGTAGAATAAGTTTTACTGTGCACAAATGGCTACCGTGGTCTTTTTCTTACTTTCCCACTTGTGTGAGAGCTCTAGCACAAGGAGAAATTTTACGCTGGATAAGTCCTACTGTTAGTGAGATAAAGCTGGTGTTGGCTCAGCATGCCATATCGTAAAGCAATTATTTGCTAGCAAAGTCTGTCTTAGACATAGACCAGTAACCAGTACTTTGTTTTCAAGAGGTTCAGTATGTTTTTGGCTCAGGGTTGCTTCACTGTTAGATATCCACTTGTGATCTAAATGGAATGTTTTTTTCATGGAACAAGTTGATTATCTGCATGTCACCTGTGCAACGTGATGCTCCATGTATTTTCTTACTTCAGCTGATTGTATAACTTAACATTTGTAGACATTTGTAATTTGTAGGGGTGGACTGAGATAAGCATTGTGCTGGTGAATGACATGGTTAAACCACCATAAAGCAATTATTTTTGGGCATTGTTATTTGAATGGTCTGACATATCATTTACGTAGCAAGATCTTGGCTTGCTGCCATCATGACAGTATATTGAGCCAGAAGCTAATGATCTGAGCATGTGTATTATCAGTCACATGGGTGGCATGCTTCTTAACCAGCAGGTATCACGCCTCTAATATTTTTACTATACCAGTAATAATTGAATTTCATTGCCTGAATACACGCTAAGACATTATATTACTTCCCTATTATTTCTTGCAAATTGAGTTTTCATAAGTGAATCCAGTATATGCATTGCATTATACTTGAAACACACAAAAGTTTCACTGTATTCAGAATGTTCTAAAAGTACCCATGGAGGTGTTCATATGGCATTATATTGCAAAATAAATATGGTAATATTCTATGGTTTATCAATTTACAGCAAGCAGATAATATATTTTGTGGACCAATTCTTCACCTCTAAGTTATAAAACAGAATGACATGTGAGAAAAGATTTACGGTCTATAAAAGTAACACCTTTGTATATTGTGTTTTGGCTTTATAAAAATATTGACATAATCCATGAGTTATTCCACTTTGCACCAGGTATTTTTCCTAAAAAAAATACTATCAAATTTTGATTTGCACCTTTAATGCAACTGAAAGCACCATCAAGGGATACTTTTAACATAAGGAAAGATACAATTAGCTTGACCAAGGGAGTTATTTCATACCCAGATGTTTGCAAGCAAAAACAAACTTGTACACCTAACTTTTGATAGCTATAGGAACAGAGTATAGCCAGTTCAAGAAAATCTTGCACACAGTTTGGTTTCATTGTATGTTTACCTTAGGTATTTACAGACAAGTGGCTGATTTTTGCCTTCAGCATGACCAAACAGTATTGCCTGTAAAGGTGGAAAGTACAGTTGTTCTTCCCAGCTTCTTGCTTCTTTAGGACTTGCATCACCCATTCTCTGTCCCTCCAACAACAATTCTGCAATTACACAATGTTTGGCACTAGACGGGTATGACATATTGTGGTGTATTATCACATCTTCTGTATACATTCACACACAGAGCCATGCACCCCAGGTCCTGAAACAGATATAGATCACAAGGCTTTTCATCTCCTGATACCATTCTGAACATGGTCCTTGAAAGGTTCAGAATATAGAACCACACTCGCCTTGTTATTTTTGTCCTCTTTTTTTTTTGCAATTGAAAATGTAATCATGATTATCATTTAATTTACAATGCTAGAGCTTCTAGTTCTTGCTGTATGCTGGGAGGGGGGGGGTCATCTGCATAGAAATCCTGTAGAAAACACCTAAAACCCTGAAATTGTACATACAATATTGTCTTCTGTTTAAAAATGAACAGCTCTTTTGATTATAATACTCATAATTTTCTCATTTTGAACTTAATTGGGATTTGGAAAAAAAAACCCTTAATGTCTCTTTGAATAACAAAATCTTTTTTGCAATTTTTTTATGATTTATCTAGATGATTACCAAAATGAGAGGATTGTACCTTCATAATTTCTTTTATATAAACAAGAGTTCACATAACAGTAACATTGCCTTTAACAAAATAAGCTATTTTTGACAAGTAATTCCCCTCCAAACTGTTCCTTCTTTTTGTAAATGACTATGCAAACGTCAATAACTGAATTTCTCTAAAATTAAAAAAATTGCACTAATTGGTATGTTGATGTCACTCATTCAAACCTTCCTGTTTTAAGTACTGTGCAGTGCACTTTGAAAGCAATTAGAAGTCATTGAATTATCAGTCAAAATAACTAAATCTTTGAGGCTATTGACTACTGCTGCTTTATAAGTATATTGCAGACAGACTGCAAACAGACTGCAAACAGTGGATCAAATGATAATCATGATGGGAGCCAACCTAAGGACAGTAGCAGAGCTTGCTGTTCTGTTGCTGAATGCAGTCAAGTTATTGCCACGGCTTTACTATTACCACTTTATTTGGATTTGTATCACAGCACTGCTGTTGTTTTTCCAAAATTGCGTTTATAGTGTTGTTTCATATTCCAAGCGCTCCTGTATAAGGGCATCATCTTTATATTGTAGCCGTGGAGGGGTAGGAGAACATTCAAAAGCTAAAATGGCCTTTCTTAGGCTCCTGTCCAATACATGTCTCTCCCATGCTGGATACCTGTTCCTGAACAGATCAATTTTAATGACAGATTCTTCAATCCTTGGTGGTCTGGATGAAGGCGTAGAAGGGGCAGTAGGTCTCACCTGAAACACAGGCACACACCCATCTCTGTCTGTAAATTTCTGATCCCGATCACTTGTGACACTTCTGTTATTAGAAATAGACCTTAATGTACTTGATGCTACTTCTGGAGGAAGTGTAAAGGCAGCTACAGAGTCCTCACAAGCACAGCTTGGTGACTGCCCAAACCTTGGTCCATTTGGATGAAAGAAGGCATAGTACATCAGCATAAAAACAATGCCTGTTAAAAAGCTGCTGAATACTACACATAGAGCTGGGATGGCAAATGCATCAGAAATCAGAGGAGCCTTGTAGAGGTACCAAAGAGCACTCAAGGCAGTGTTTTCCAAAAGGATCACAAAATAGTAAATGAAAAGCCTACAGCGTGTCCTTCCCTCCTTGACGTTGAACCAACTAAAGATATAGATTATCCCAACAACCATATCAAAGACAATCTCTTCCCATTTAGTGATGCAGAATTCTGTCTCACAATGGACAATCCAGAATGTCATGATACACCAGTGGAGGACGATAAAGATCCCAAAATACAGTTGGAAAACAGAAGCAAAGAGAGCAAAAGTAATCACTCTGGCTGCAATTGTGAAGAAGTGCCAGCAAAACTGGATTATTACAGCCATGTAACTGATAGGTTTCTTGTCATCACGGGAATCACGAAGAGCTTTTTGGTACGAAGCCAAAGCCCATGCCAAAGACACAAGAGATGCTGCAGCTGTAAGGCCTAGGAGGAAGGAAGAAAAGAAACAGTTATATGGTCAATAAACGTAGAAGATGCAAAATCAGGAAGAAAGAAAAGAAACAATTATATGGTCAATAAATGTAGAAGAGCACATGGTGCAGTTTTTATAAGTGAGACTATTAAGCAGGATTCAGCCTTTGTCTTTTAGCCTCATTATGCAACTAGGATGTGACAGCATAGTCACTGGTAGCAGGCTTAATAGCAGTCTAACAGCTGTGGCTTTTTCTCCTATTGTCCTTTCAAATTGCAAGAACCTCAGTGCACTCATACACTGTCTGCACTGTGACGGTAAACGGATACAATTATATATATGAGAACAAGACAGAATTATGCATATTACAACATTCAATTGTGTAGCAGTCTTATGTTTTAAATTAATTACAAAAACAAATGTTAACATATTTTGAAAAAGTTACAAGGTTTTTTTCCCTAGCTCCCAGTGCACAATCCAGAATGTCATGATACACCAGATAAAAATATACAAGATTATACTGCATTTCTCTTCTCATTATTCAATCCTAACCAAATAAAAATCAAAACCTTTTTTCCCTCAGAACAGCAGGTACTCTTCCTTCCTTCACACTGTCCTTTGAACCTGATTGCAAAACTGATGGAACTGAAATCGCACTTCACTTCCTATCTGAAATATTTGTGTATCCCTGGGCAAATTCGATACATTAATGGCAGCTAGCACTTTTCCTGGAGGGCAATTGTCAAAAATGGTGCCATATCATGAATATGAATTGGTTACATATTGGACACTTGGATACATCATGGCCCTTACCCCAAAGGCATGGGGATTCATGATTTGTTTTTGCCATCTTCCTCTCAAATTTCTTATCTATTGCTGATAGATTGCATATTTGAGGGCCAAGACATTTTTAACAGGTATGGTCAAGGTTCCCTCTACCTGACTGGCTTTTCCCAAACCCACACAGAAGCTGTGGGGAACATGTGTTTAAAATTCTGGGATCTCAGTTTAGCTAGGGACCATGGCATGGTGGAAGGAGGAGCTCCTGCCTCCCTCTCATGCCATTTTCCCAGGCCAAAGTGGCCCTGGAGGAGGCAGTTATTTTATCCTTTTTGAAGCTGCATGTACATGGAATACTAAAATTCATTTTAAAAAGTCTTGTTTAGTTTGACCCTGAGACACAGTTCAATGAGCTGCTGACAGTGTTTTTGTGGCAAGTATGTTTGCATTCAGGCTTTTCTTCCTTTCATATACGTGTATGTGGACCAAGTAGAAATGCCAAATTGTTGAATACTAAGCAATATAAAATGAACCATTCACAGACCCATTCATGGCGGCCAAGATAAGCTGCAAAACAGCAAAAGCTATTTAGTTAACTCATACTCTTGTTAATTAACATTTTATTGAAAGATAAATATGAAATACAGAGGCTTAAGAATGTTACGATAACTGGTATAACAATTACAAAATTGAGTCATAGCTATTGTCAGTGGAGCAGAAGTATACTTGATAATATAGAGGGGAAGGGGGGGAAAGAGAGAGGAAGAAGAAAATAAATAAATCAGGAGAGAAAAGAGATACTAAGCTACATAATCCTTACATTGTCACTCATACTCATCACTGACAGAGGCCACTATTAGAGATAAGCCCAGGTGAGGAGAGGGGGAAAGCAGCAACCTAAATTAGTGTGAACAAATTTTTAATTTTGTCCCCACAGAAATAGGAGCTACAGACCTATGATTTGATCCCACCAAAGCTCTTGAAAGTTGCTGGCTGTCTGGGTGTGAACTAGGCTTGCCAAGTCCCCCCGGGGGGTGGGGAAACTCCCGCCCCAGAGGCCCGTTCCCCGCCGGCGGCGGATCAGGCCCCGGGGGAACCCCACCCCGACGTGCGCGTCACCCGGAAGTGACGTGACCACGCCGGGCACGCTGGGGGCGGAGCCACGGTCATCCTAGGGAAAACTCTATGGTTTTCCCTCAGATGGTCGTGGCCCCACCCCCAGCGTGCTCCGCGTCGTCCCCTCCTCCTGGTAAACCCCCATATCCTCACCTTTCCCTGCTTTCTTCTCACCAATCCACCAAACTACATTTTATCTGCTCTATCTTCTTTTTTTATTATATAGCCTTTATGCTTTATAAACCAAACAAGTAAAGTAATAAACAAATATAGCTGGAACAACAATAACTACAAGGCCACATCCCACTAAAGTTATACAAAAACTTATCAAAATTAGAGAGTAAATACATTTACCAGCAAGGAAGTATCCAGCAGCTTCCCTTCAGAGACCATATAGTTTAGGTACCACTATCTTCTCCATAATCTAAATATTCCATAGTTTATCAAACCACAATTCAATTGTGGGCAGATGCTTAGCCTTCCATTGAGAGGCTATAGCCATTCTAGCTGCAACTAACAAGAATTCCATAAGCCTCGATGTAGACCATGGTATATCAAGCCCTAACCCTATATTAAGTAATAACATTTCTAGATGATGTTGTAGTCTGTACCCTGTGATCACAAAAATATGATCCCCAACTTGATGCCAAAAGGCTTGAATGTAATCACATGACCACCAACAATGAATGTAGTTATCGTGAGTGCCACACGACTTCCAACAATGTGGTTTGTTTGAATTATGAATGTGTGCAAGCCTGGCTGGATTTAGATACCAATTATAAAGAAAACAGTCATGAGAGTCTGACCCACAAATCAAGCAGTCAACAAGACCTGTGGGAGATTATCAACAAGTCCCTCTTGGAGGGACAGTTCCCCAGAGCACTCAAGGAGGCGATGGTCCGCCCCCTCCTAAAAAAGCCATCCTTGGACCCGACTGAATTGGCCAACTATCGGCCGGTGTCCAATTTGCCCTATTTGGGCAAACTTATAGAGAGGGCAGTGGCGTCACAGCTACAGGGCTTTCTGGAGGATGCTTCAGTCTTAGATCCCTTCCAGTCCGCTTTTCGCCCGAGTCATGGGACGGAGACGGCATTGGTTGCCCTGACTGACGACCTCCGTAGGCATCTGGATCGAGGTGGTGTGGCGGCATTGCTGTTATTAGATCTGTCGGCCGCTTTTGATACAGTCGACCATCAGCTGCTGGCCCACTGCCTCGCCAACGTGGGGATTCAGGGGTTCGCCCTTCAATGGCTTGCCTCGTTCCTACAAGGTCGAGGACAAAGGGGGCGATAAGGGAACAGCAGTCCCGGAGTTGCCTATAGCATACCGGATTCGCTTCAAAGTGCTGGTTCTTACCTATAAAGCCCTTGATGGCCAGGGTCCAGCATGCCTATAGCATACCGGATTCGCTTCAAAGTGCTGGTTCTTACCTATAAAGCCCTTGATGGCCAGGGTCCAGCATGCCTATAGCATACCGGATTCGCTTCAAAGTGCTGGTTCTTACCTATAAAGCCCTTGATGGCCAGGGTCCAGCATGCCTATAGCATACCGGATTCGCTTCAAAGTGCTGGTTCTTACCTATAAAGCCCTTGATGGCCAGGGTCCAGCATGCCTATAGCATACCGGATTCGCTTCAAAGTGCTGGTTCTTACCTATAAAGCCCTTGATGGCCAGGGTCCAGCATGCCTATAGCATACCGGATTCGCTTCAAAGTGCTGGTTCTTACCTATAAAGCCCTTGATGGCCAGGGTCCAGCATGCCTATAGCATACCGGATTCGCTTCAAAGTGCTGGTTCTTACCTATAAAGCCCTTGATGGCCAGGGTCCAGCATGCCTATAGCATACCGGATTCGCTTCAAAGTGCTGGTTCTTACCTATAAAGCCCTTGATGGCCAGGGTCCAGCATACCTAAGGGACCGCCTTTCCCCATATGTTCCCCCAAGAGCACTACGGTCTGGGGCGCAGCACCTACTGGTGGTTCCAGGCCCCAAGGACATCAAGCTAGCCGCAACCAGGGCCAGGGCTTTCTCGGCGGCGGCTCCTGCCTGGTGGAAAGAGCTCCCAGAGGAGATCCAGGCCCTGCGGGACTTGACATAGTTCCGCAGGGCCTGTAAGACGGAGCTCTTCCACCAGGCCTTTGCATAGGAGCCACTGCCGCCATTGTGCCACCACCGAGTTGCCATCTATGATGGTGGATTAAATCGATAAGTGAACTGGCCCTGGGAAGACGCCTAGGTGACCAAGAACCTATGCTGCCAGGCTAGGTGATAAAAGGATCCCATCTTGGAGAGATAAGTTAATACCTAGAGCACCGCACTTTATTTATGGATTGTTTTATACTGTTTTAACTGTTTGTTATGGCATTTGCCACTGTTGGAAGCCGCCCTGAGCCCATCTGGGAAGGGCGGGATACAAATATAATAAATAAATAAATAAATAAATAAATAAATATGCTTCCTGTGTATTACAGTCTAAATTCCTACAAATCATAAAAAAATCCTAGAACAAACGTACATAATCAAAGATACATCATCAACATGGATGTCCCTTCTAATAGATCCCAGGTGCAGCATATCTGAGCCTGAACATATTGAGATCAGCATCCTATTTGAATGAATTGTATTATCTTTCATTGAAGTAAGATACCACCATGTTACAAGTTATTTATTTATTTATCAGATTTTTATCCCACCCTCCCAGCCTAGGCCGGCTCAGGGCGGCTTACAAACAGAGTAAAATTCCAACAATACAATAACATAAAATCACATAATTTAATATAAATACAATGTTAAAACTCAGACATAATAAAGTGCTAGCAACATTCCTCATTTTACGGTCAGCTCTTTGGCCTTCTTCAGCTATCTCGGGTGATTGGCTCGGGCAGTATTTAAGGGACCAGTGGATCAGGGTTCTGCCAACCTCCAAAAGAATTGGTGGAAGAGCTCTGTTTTACAGGCCCTGAGGAATTGTGAGGGGTCCCACAGGGACCTGGTCTCTTCTGGGAGCCATTCAACTAGAGTGGAGCTGCCACCGAAAAAGCCCTGGCCCTAGTTACCACCAATCTGGCCTCCTTACAGCTCAGGAGAGCCAGCCAATTCTGAGTCCCAGATCGCAG